GACCAATCAATTGGGTACGGATAGGTTCATAGGGGCATTGCCCAAATTTTAGGGAACGGAGGAGTTGATTTGTTTTTTCGTTTTTTTGTTTTTTTTTCGTTTTTTCTGATGAAAGGAGTAGATATGGTTTCTAAAGGGTTAAATTTAACGAATCATCTAGTAATTCCAATGTTTTTGTCAATTTTGGCTAGTAACTTTAATTTCTCCCATTTGAATCTATAATCTTTCAAATTGGTAAAAAATTAGTCTAGTCTGTTAATTTATTGTTTATAAGTCATTATCCATGTCAGCGTGTTATCTGTCACAAGAAATAAAGAAAATTTTATCTTTAAACCTTGAAACTTTTAAATCTTTTAAAGTTAGGTCCTAAAATTATTTTTTTTTAACAAAATCTACTGATGAAAATTCCATTCTAGTTTCTAGGCAAAAGGTACTCATTTGCCCTTTAACTTTTCGAATTTGTGGCATTTTACCCCTCATATTACAATATGTGATTTTTTATCCTTTATGTTTTTGAATATATGATTTTTTATTCTTCATGTTTAGGGAAATAAATCAAAATTTAACGGCAGAAAGGTCACGTGTGGCACCTGCATCGTTAATCTCCGTCATCTATTGACGTGTTCATGCCAACTCAGATTTTTTTTACACGTTGCCAAGTTCAACTTGCACTGAGTTGAAATTTTACCCCAATAATTTAGTTTTCTTTTTCATTCCTCACTTTCCTCTCTTCCCTTCTTCAACCCTTCAACTTTTGCAAATCTCTAACATCTCAATCTCAACCAATCTATTCACCTCAATCAATCTCTACATTCTGAGTTCTTCATCATCATCAAACAACAAAATCCACAGAAAACAAATAAAAGAAAAAAAGAATTTTTTTTAAAAATTTTTTGTCACTGGGTTCCATAGAACCCACACCTGAGTTCCAACGAACCTAGGTGTACTGGGTTCGAAGGAACCAGTGCCTACTCGAAACCCAGGCATGAGTCGATGGGAACCCTCAACTTTTGCAAATCTCTAACTCAACCAATCCATTCACCTCAATCAATCTCTACCCTTACTGGGTTCTTCATTATCATCAAAAAAACAAAACTCACAGAAAACAAAAAGAAAAAAAGATTTTGCCATTGGGTTACATAGAATCCAACGCTTGGGTTCCTTGAAACCCATGCCTGGGTTCGATGGAATCCAACACTGGGGGTTCCACCGAACCCAGGCATGGGTTCCT